AAAAGCCATTTTAAGGGTTTATTCTGATTGACGAAAGGATGTTCCTATCAGTGCTTCGATTTTTCTTGGCTTTCTGCTTATTTATTTTTGCAATTTACGACATCAATTTTTATTGTCGCTATTGTTGATATATTTATTCTGATTTGTTGGCAATCTTTTCGTTTGTTTCTTTGATCAAATTTACTTCTTTTAACAAATACACTTCTTTACTTCTTTACTTACAAACTTGTTTACTTTATTAACAAGTCATTAAAAAAGAAATTCAATTTTTATATTTGTTTTATATGATTTCTTGTTCCTGTCTCATTTATATATATATATGTGTGTACATTTCCCTTTTATTGTAAATATTTTCCTTCCATAATGGTCTGTCCACATTGCATATATCTGTCATGCATACTTTGATATAGTATAGTTTTAAAATTGATCATAGTTATATTCTTATGCTAAAAAATTAAATTAAAAATTTTAGCGCTTTCTCTTCTTCATTATTGTTTAAGATTTTAATTAATTTTTTAAGTTTTCGCCTAGCTTTTTTCATAAAGTGCACAACTTATATATTCGCACGAATGTTAATTTCTAGGACGAAGACAATTCTTTATTTTTTACAGTCCGAAATAATGCAGCGGAGAAGACAGAAGAGAAGGATAGTACTAATAAAGGGATCAAGACAAAAGCGGTCGAGTATGTCAACGATGATGAAATCGACGAATTCAAAGAAGTGATGAAGCAGCTTGAGCCAAAGTATCGGCGTTATGCCAACTGGCGGATTTGAATGCTATTTGAAATTGTCTATTATTCTTTTCGAAATCGTCGATGCAAAGCAGATACATGCTTGGCTCCAAGGACTGTTAAAATCATGGACACTTACAATTAACATTCATCATACATCCTTCGTAGCTATGAATTCTTAGTTCCATGAATTTTTGATATTATTATTATTATTATTATTATTATTATAATTATATTAATTATTATTATTATTATTATAGATCATTGGTTGATTTTCTCATAGCCTTAAACGTTTTTGCGTTTAAAAGTTCTTAGTTTCTAGATCGAGTTTATTTTTTAAAAATACCCACTATTGTATAAATTTTGACGAATAGAAACTAGGAAATTTTGTTTTAATGAATTTTGCATAATAGACATCTCTTTTCAATGATCTTTATTTTAAATATTTGATAGTATATATTTTTATTTGTACAGATGTATTATGCATCCTTTTTTGAATTTAAACAATTACGAATAGTACCATAGTATCATACTCTTTTGCATATATAGTACTTTAATTTATGGATCTTTGTTATTTTTTTACTTAGACCTTTGACCTTCTACAAAGCAATCTATTTTCACAAATCCATGTTCCACAGATCTTTGGAGTTATTGCACGTTGAAACAGTATGCGGACGGCGCGGAATTTTTGACTATGGTAGAGGGATGATGCAAGCGTTGTAAACTTAATTTTTAACTGTTAGTAAGTGTCAATAATGTCTTATGTACTAGTTAGTTTTTGTCGATTATTTTTGTCGATTATTTTTTATTTCGCGGGGAGAAGAGTAACCGGAAAGCAAAGAAAGATGAAATGGAAAATGTACATTAGGCGATCGATTCTAGTCTCGAAGACAGTCGATCTGTCTTGAGAAAATTATAAACTTAACGTACACCACTCTCGCCGCGCGATGTAACACGCTGGCAGTGATCAATGTAACGCCAGTGCTTCTTAAACTTACAAATCATAGGACACCAAAGGATAAAATCTTTTCTTTGTCGTGCCTCGAGCTTCTATGAAGATTTTCTTTAAGAAATAATGGCACACAGTTACGATTATAAGGTGCTCCATTGCAATCATTGACGGTGTCCTTTCAATTAGATATTAAATCGAAGGCAGAAAAAGTGATGAGTGATGAGAAAGTGAGTCTCGATGTTGATACAACAATAAATAGTTAATAGAAATGTTAAAAATTACTAATTTTCGTTAAATAAATATATTATGAATAAAAGAGTATAAGAAAGGACATCTGGACGGACACCTTGTATATAAAATATAAGTAGTAGTATAAACTTTTTCAATGTAACTTTCTTTCTATGATTAAATCTTGTTTGTGTTGGATGAACTACATTGAAATAGATATAACAAAGGATATTTGTCGCAATTAACATACTAATCATGTAGAATCATGTAGAGTTATCTGTTATATTTCCAGATTTTCATGGAACACAGTTTAAGGAACACTGACCTAACGTGGCGATTACCTTAAACGAAATACTTTAACGAATTATTACTTAAATGTACATCACTGTTAACTAAAACTGAAAAACTTCCTGAATGCCTTGTATATGTAGTATGTCACAGAAAATATATAGATCAATAATAGGTAACTCTTAAACAAATTTCAAGTGAATTTCTTAATGATCTTCTTAAACATCTCTAACTTCTCTAACAATTAAATATCTAATATTTATAAATCATAATAAATTTTAAAAATATTAAATACTATTTTTTAAATTAGTTATCTAATATTTCTTCAAAAAATTAATATATCTTAATTATATTATTTATTTTTGGAAGTTGGAAATTTTATTTGTATATTAAAATTTACTCGATTGTCAAATGTACTCGATTATCAAAATATTTAATATAAACAATTAAAAATTGTTTAAAAGATTTAATTTTTTGTTAATTGTTGTAAAATCTGTTTAACTGATTTCATAAAGAGGAAAAAGTTTCTATTATTGGTTACCATGTTTTCTGAGATATCCTGTATATTTATGTATATTTTTGTGTGTGTGTGTGTGTGTGTGTGTGTGTGTGTGTGTGTGAGTGATGTGTGTGTGAGTGATGTGTAATGCATGTATTGACTGCAGGAGAACGCGAGAAATACTCGTGATTACTAAGTAATCGCGTGTTACATCACAGACGATAAATTTCGAAGATAACTCGAATCTGAATTTTGTAAGAAGACTTAAATGAAGATTTCAACAATGAGCTGTTATTGGAAAGGAAAGAGCTGTTATTATCTTTTTGTAATGCTGTAGTTATATTTTTAACAAAATATTGTGAAGGAATTGATTATTTCATTTACGTGTTTATAATTTGCATAAAGAAATGAAAATAGCTTAAAATCATCTGCAATATAGATAAAATTCTTATTGCAATATATATAGGTATATAAATGATTTTCTTATTTTATATCTTGAATGCCAGGCAGGTTTATATATAAATATATATATATATATATATATATATATATATATTATATC